TTTCGTACTAAAGGAGGGGGATAGGAGATGGGGGAGAGGAGAGAAGGGGGGGGGAGGATGTTGGCGAGGCAAAAAAAAAAAAAAAAAAAAAAAGAAAAAAAAGAAGAAAAAAAAACACCTAAAACCGGGCTATTTTCGGCCCAAAACATCCAGGTAGCGAACGGGATGTTGATGTTAAAAGTGGACGAAGGCAACAGGGAAGAACGAAAGCTGGAAGAAGGGGAGAGGCGGGAGACAGAGGACGACGGGGATCGAGAGATATATTTCTATAGGAAGAGGAAAAGGGAATGGGAGAATGAAAGGGCGAGGCGAGAAGAATTGAGGAAAGATGGGAGCCAGGAGAGGGATAAATGAATGAAGGGAGGAGGGAGGAAGATGGAAAAAGGGGTGAGAAAGAGGGAAAGAGGGGGAAACATAGGATAAAAGAATGTGTATAAGAGAGAGAGAGAGAGAGAGAGAGAGAGAGAGAGAGAGAGAGAGAGAGAAAATGAAAAACTGGATAAATAGATAGACAGATAAATAAACAGATAGACAGATGATAGACAGATAGATAGGAGTACGCTTATGTTTTACGCACCATAAGTAAATATCAAATAAATCATTTGCCTACTGGATTAAACTCATCGAATGCATTAGGCATTTCGAAAATCCGAAAAGGCAAACTTGATTAAATTACATGTGTGGGCATTACAAGATAGAACCAGTTGACGTTTTTAATGTATTTCCTATATGTTGTACATATGACGTTAGCAGTAAATATTTTTTTTTTTTTTTATTTCTATCTCGGTCTCTCCCCCCCTTTCTCTTTCTCTTTCTCTCTCTCCTTCTCTCTCTCTCTCTCTCTCTTTCTCTCTCTCTCTCTCTCTCTCTCTCTCTCTCTCTCTCTCTCTCTCTCTCTCTCCTTCTACATATCTTTAAAGGCCTTCGCATCAGCGCAGACAGCCATGCAAACAGACAAACAGGAACATCCCTCCCATCTGCTCCTCTCCAAACGTCCAAACATCCAGACAGACAGACAAACAAACAAACAAGAACATCCCTCCCCCACCCCCCTCTCTGCTCCTCTCCAAACGTCCAAACATCCAGACAGACAGACAAACAAACAAACAAGAACATCCCTTCCCCAACCCCCCTCTCTGCTCCTCTCCAAACGTCCAAACATCCAGACAAACAGACAAACAAACAAACAAGAACATCCCTCCCCCACCCCCCTCTCTGCTCCTCTCCAAACGTCCAAACATCCAGACAGACAGACAAACAAACAAACAAGAACATCCCTCCCCCAACCCCCTCTCTGCTCCTCTCCAAACGTCCAAACATCCAGACAGACAGACAAACAAACAAACAAGAACATCCCTCCCCCAACCCCCTCTCTGCTCCTCTCCAAACGTCCAAACATCCAGACAGACAGACAAACAAACAAACAAGAACATCCCTCCCCCACCCCCCTCTCTGCTCCTCTCCAAACGTCCAAACATCCCGACAAACAGACAAACAAACAAACAAGAACATCCCTCCCCCAACCCCCTCTCTGCTCCTCTCCAAACGTCCAAACATCCAGACAGACAGACAAACAAACAAACAGGAACATCCCCCCCCCCCCGCCCGTAACTGGAGTGGAAAGAGATAGTAAGAGCCAATCTCTCGAAGCAACGCACAAAAGTGGCGAAGTCACACCGTGATTACAATCTGGGATTTCCATTTTCATGACATCGCAATTTGCAAGACGTAGGGAACAGGTTTGGGTGAAGGGGAATAAGGGCAAAGGAAGAAAGAATAGGAGGGGAGGGGAGAAGAGGGGGAAGGTAGAGGGGAGGATAGGGGAGGGGAGGGGAGGGGAGGATAGGGGAGGGGAGGGGAGGATAGGGGAGGGGTGGGAAAGGTGACAGTGGGGGGGACGGGAGAGGAGGGGGAAGGTAGAGGGGAGGGGAGGGGAGGGGAGGATAGGGGAGGGGAGGGGGTGGGAGAGGTGAAGGTGTGAGGGGGGGACGGGAGAGGAGGAGAAGGTAAGAGGAGAGGCAAAAGGGGAAGTAGAGAGTGATGAAGTCGATGGAAGTGGGGGAGGTATGAGAAAGGAGGGAGAGAAGGGAGAAAGGGAGGGAAAAGAAGCGGTGAAGAGGATGAAGGCGAGGGACGGAAGAGGAAGGAAACGAGGAACAGGAAAAAGGGAAGAGGAGAGGGTGAGGACGAGGATAAAGGGCTCGGGGAAGAGAAGGCGAGGAAGAGGATTAAGGGAAGAATAAACGAAGAGGAGAAAGAGGGGAGGGAAGAGGAGAGATAAAGGAGAAGGAGGAGGCGACGAAAGGAAGAGAGGGGAGGGAAGAGGAGGCAAGGAGGCAGGCGAAGGAGGGCCAGAAATAAGAAGAGAAATGAGGAATGAGGATCAAAGAAGAGAGAGAGAGATAGATAGATAGATAGATAGAGAGAGAGAGAGAGAGAAATAAGATTAGAGATATAGATAGATAGATAGAATAATAGACAGGAAGAGAGAGCGAGATAGATAGATAGAGAGAGAGAGAGTGAGATATATAGAGAGATAGATAGATACAGAGAGAGAGAGAGAGAGAGAGAGAGAGAGAGAGAGAGAGAGAGAGAGAGAGAGAGAGAGAGAAATAAAGTTAGAGATATAGATAGATAGATAGATAGAATGATAGAAAGGGAGAGAGAGAGATAGATAGAGAGAGAAAGAGAGTCATATATATATATATATATATATATATATATATATATATATATATATATATATATATATATATATATATATATATATAGATAGATAGATAGATAGATAGATATATAGATATATAGATTGGTAGATAGATAGATAGATAGAGAGGGTGAAGATAAGATAAATAGATAGATAGATAGATGGATAGAGAAAGTGAGAGAGTAAGATGGATAGATAAATATATAGATAGATAGATAGATAGAGAGAGAGGAAAAAAAGAGAGAGAGAAAGATAGATGAATAGATAGATATATAAAGAGAGTGAGTGCGAGAGATGCTTACGGGGAAGAGAGAGGGGAGGACGCGGAGGAAGAAGAGAGGGGAGGCAAGACAAAGGGAGAGAGGGGGAGGGGAAGAGGGGGGGGGGGAGAAGGAACGTATACCTGAAATTTAAACAACAGTTGGGCACAATGGTCGAGATGACTAAGGCGACTGACTCACTCCCTTAGAGTAATTTTTCCTCTTTTTTAAAGGGAGGGGGAGACGAGGCAGGGGGAGGGGAAGGAAAAGACGAGGCAGAGAGGGAGGGAGGGAGAAGAGGTAGGGGGAAGGGAGACGAGGCAGGGGGAGGGGGATGCTGGAGAGGGAGACGAGGCAGGGGGAGGGGGATGTTGGAGAGGGAGACGAGGCAGGGGGAGGGGAGGGGGAAGCAGGAGAGGGGGAGAGGAATGTTGGAGAGGGAGACGAGGCAAGGGGAGGGGAGGGAGAAGAGGTAGGAGGGAAGGGAGACGAGGCAGGGGGAGGGGGATGCTGGAGGGGGGGAGAGGGAGACGATGGAGGGAGAGGAGGGGCAGGAAGGCGAAGAGAGGGACGAGGAGGAGAGAGAGAGAGAGAGACGAGCCAGGGGGGAGAGGGAGACGAGGAAGGGGGGGGAGAGGGAAACGATGGGGGACGAGGCAAGGGGGAAGAGGAAAGACGAGGGCGGGGTACGGGTGGAAGAGGGAAACGGGGGGGGGGGGGGGGGCTGTATTCAGGTAAGCTTTTGTTTCTCCTTTAATCATTGGTTAGGATATCTAGGGAGGAAGGGAGGAAGGGAGGAAGGGAGGAAGGGAGGAAGGGAGGAAGGG